GGGGGAGGAATGGCGTTTTTTGGTTTAAGGAAAGGGACATGGGGCCACGAAATTTTATGTTATTCGGATGAATAGTGCTTCCTTAATCTAGTGTTACGGTTTAGCAACAGCTGAATTAGTTTGCTATGTTAACCTTACGTTGATCCTTCTGGTTTCGCAGGTGCAGCATTGTATTTCTTGAAAATAGTACGTTAAATCAAGCATTCTATAGGTCCAAACTTCATATTTCATTAAGATTGTTCACTGTTCATGTTTTCGTTAAGATTGTTCATGTTTTCATTAAGAATAATCGCTAAGATTATTTGTGTTTTATCCGAAAACTGAGATCAAATACTGATAAATCCTTACGGGAAAGGGAGGGAGGAAAAACTCATTCAGTTCCCTTTTTCCTTCCTCATTAAAGTTGTAATTTTATGAGGGCGTACTTTTTGTTACCACAGTGTTATTCGGTGTTGTGAAACTACAATTTTTTTTTTTTTTTTGCAGTAACAGAACATGGGAATTTTTCGGCGCCTTCATTACCGTCCATCAGTGCGCAAGGTTCAGCAGCAAATTTACAGCACGCCGACGAGCATTTTTCCGCGGCAGCACTTCGCACAAACGTGTGTAATATGAAAATGAGCAAAAGCTTAAGCGGATTCTTGGGTACTATTGCATTAATTTCAATATATCCATAAACGTAGCTTTTTTTCACCGCGGGTGCCATGAAGCGAATATCTCGGACAGCGATTGCTCAGACAGCGAAAGGGAAGGGGCAAGGGCAACAGCATAGCAGCATTTCGCATTCGATTAGTTTTGTGGTCAACTGCTATTGAAAAACTGCATAATCGAGCAGGTCATTGGAAATTGGCACAAAAATAACCTTGCGAAGGGCTTTCAGAACTCAGAACTTCCCTTCATGTTCGGTCTCCCAGAAAATGAAAGCCCTTATCTGTTACCTGAGTGTCAGCACTGTTGTAATCGGCGGCCTCTCAATGACAAGAGTTTTAATTGCTTTTTTTCCTGAAATTTCATGAGAAATAAGTTAAAATGGGCAATTTAGCCCCTGGAATATTACCGATCCAGGCTCTAGAATATTACCACAGGTAATGGAAGGGTAGAAGGGGCTTTATTCATGATTGTAGAAGGGGCTTTATTCATGACTGTTATGCTTTATT